CTGGTAAGTCCCCCTGCTGACCAGCAGATGTGGTTGCCCTGAACTCCTGGCAAAGTGAAGCCACAGCAGTGCTGGGGTGGTGGGCCTTTTGCAGTTATGATTGCCAACCTCCAGGTGTTGCCAGGAGATCTCCTAGGGTTACAACTGATCTCCAGGAGACAGAGATCAGTTCACCTGGAGAAGATGGCTGCTTTGGAGGGTGTGGCGTTATACCCTGCTGAGGTCCCTCCCCTTCCTCAGCCTCCACCCCCCAAAACCTCCAGGTATTTCCCCACCCAGAGCTGGCAACCCTATTTTCCACTCCTTTCCAGCCTCTGGAGCCAGCAAGAAAGTTTGCCTCAAAGCCACGTTCTCCATCGTAACCTCTGTTCTCTGGTGTTGCCTCTTATAATTTCACATATCTGGAGGAATGTGTGTGGAAAGAGAAGAGATTGGACTCATACCCCGCCCTTCACTCGGAGTCTCAGAGTGTCTTACAATCCCCTTTCCCTTCCCCTCCCCACAGCAGACACCCTGTGAGGCAGGTGGGGCCAAGAGAGCTCTTTTGAGGACTACTCTTGAGAGAACAGCTCTGAGAGAACTTGTGACTGACCCAAGGTCATGCCAGCAGCTGCATGTGGAGGAGTGGGGAATCAAACCCTGTTCTCCTAGATTAGAGTCTGCACTCTTAACCACTACACCAAGTTTATGGGTAGGGTTGCCAAATGGGGCTGGGCGGCAGGGAACCCTCCCGCTTTGGTGGCCCGATTTCTGACACGACAGAATCTGCCCCCGGGGGAAACCCCACCCCCGCGTGCACATCACATCCGGGTGACGTAGATACGTCGCGCACGCGCGCACCAGGAGGTCCCCAGGAGTCCCCCGCCGAGGAGGTGAGTACCATTTGGCAACCCTATTTATGGGACACTTCTAGTTTTGGTTATCAGAGTTTCTTAAAACACCCCCTTATTTTTAACGCCATCCACAACTCCAAAACATCCCTTATTTTGACAACTGGATCTTTGTCCACCAAACAAGAAGGGCCTGTTGAGTGCTATATGAGTATTGGATAAGTATGTCATATATCACCAGGAAGGTTTCAAAGTGTCGTTTGAGAAGACTGTGTCAGACTGGAAGCTGTCATGTAGGCAGGCCTGTTGGGGTGAGTTTGGCAACGAATAGTGCCTTCCGCCTTTAGGCTCCGCTTCAGTGTCTTCAGAGGCTGTGGGTGCCACCTTGTGGCCGATGTGGAGATTTCAAACAGGCGCACCACAAAAAGTATTTTTGCCTCGCAAATGAGCAGGTAAGAGAAACTTTTCTGGGCTGGAGCTCCCCAACCTCTGAAGAACTTGCAAACCTAACTGTGTGGGGTCCGTACCTTGGCAAAGTTATGGCATCCATGGCATTATAGTATCAACAACATGGACTGTCCAGATTCAGGAGTTGGGGCCTAGGGTGAGGGCACAAAGCAGGCAGGCCTGGGGATTTGAAAAGCAGTTGGATAAAACAGGATTAGTTTCAGTATCCATTCAGAAGCACTGCCATATAACCTGAATGTGCCTCCAGGCAGCCAAAATCCTTAATTGCATGGCACAATCCTTCACTGTAAATAGAATTGGACGAATTTATTCATTTGCTCCATTAATACCTCACCTTTCTCCCCAATGGGGTCCCAAAGCAGCTCAAACCATTCTCCTCTCCTCCATTTTGTCCACACAACAACCCTGTGAGGTAGGTTAGGCTGAGAGAGTATGACTAGTCCAAGGTCACCCAATAATAAGCTTCCATGGCAGAGTAGGGATTCTTTCCCAGATCCTAAACTGATACTCTTCACCACCACACCACACTGGCTTCAACAGTCAACTATACCCCACTCCCTGCATTACCTAAGCTATAGTTGTCAGAATACAACCCAGAGCCCCTTTCTCTCTCCCTCACCCTCTGCTTTGTTTTCTCCCTTTCTCACAATACAAGAACTTGTGGGCATTCAATGAGATTGCTGAACAGTTGGGTTAGAACGGATAAAAGGAAATCCTTCTTCACCCAAAGAGTGGTTAACTCATGGAATTCACTGCCACAGGAGATGGCGGTGGCTACAAGCAAGGACGGCTTGAAGAAGAAGAAGAGGAGGAGGAGGAGGAGGAGATTGGATTTATACCCCGCCCTTCACTCGGAGTCTCAGAGCGGCTTACAAACTCCTTTCCCTTCCCCTCCCCACAACAGACACCCTGTGAGGTAGGTGGGGCTGAGAGAGCTCTTGACAGAAACAGCTTTTTCAAGAACAGCTCTTATCAGAAGAACTACGGCTTGCCCAAGGTCATCCAGCCAGGTGCAAGTGGAGGAGTGGGGAATCAAACCCGGTTCTCCCAGATTAGAGTCCATGCACTTAACCACCACACCATACTGGCTTCAAGAGGGGATTGGATAAAGATATGGAGCAGAGGTCCATCAGTGGCTCTTAGCCACAAGGAATAGGTAGGAACTCTCCGGCTGGGGCAAGTGATGCTCTGTGTTCTTGGTGCCGGGGGTGGGGGGGCAACAGTGGGGCCAGGACGCTGCCTTCTAGTGTCCTGGCCCCACTGCTGGACCTCCTGGTGGCACCTGGTATTTCTGGCCACTGTGTGACACAGAGAATTTGACTGGATGGGCCATTGGCCTGATCCAACATTGGCTTCTCTTATGTTCCTATGCCTTTCCTCTCTACAGGGTTAAGTGAATGACTGTTACTGTGTTTCACTGGAAGTCCTTGCACACTTACTTTCCTCTCTACACAGCAGGTTGCTGAGGGAATGCAGCAGAACACACTTAGTAGTTGCTTCACTGCCTCAGTATTGAAAGGGGGACATACAGGCTGTCCAAGTTGGGGAAAACAGACGTCCTAAATGTTCTGGGACCGGCATACCTTTGCGACGGCCTCTCCTGGTATATTCCCCAAACAGCATTATGCTCTAGTGACCAAAACGTGCTGGTGATCCCTGGCCCAAAGAATGTCTGGCTGTCCTCGACCTCAGGCCGGGCCTTGTGGAACACTCTCCCAGCTGAGATCCGGGGCCTGCAGGATCTGATGCAGTTCCACAGGGCCTGTAAAACAGAGTTGTCCCACCAGGCCCTGTGGTCGAGGACAGCGATGGGCTCCATCTCTGACTGGCCTCCTCCTTCTGCCCCCTCCTTTCGGATCAGACTGTACATCGGCTCCCCTCAGAGTTCCTATGCCATCTTTAAATTATGTTGCTGGCTTACAGTATTATGTATTTCATTATACATTATTAGGCATTTTATTGTATTTGTGTACTAGAAATGTTAATATTGAATTTTCAAAATGTTTTTATCAATGATATTACCCGCTCTGAGCCTGGACACAGGGGAGAGCAGGATACAAATCCAATAAATCAAATCAAATGAAATCAAGTGGCGAGAAGGAACACTTTGTCACATCTGCAAATCGATCCTTTTCTGGGATCTGATGTTGAAAAAGAGAGCGCCAACTACTCACAGGCAATGTTCCCTCTAAGCTGTGGAGTCTTGTGAGCAAAAATTCTGCTTTGTAAGCTACCAGCATTAAAGTTGTGAGCGAGCGATTGGGCTGCTGCAAAAATCAGTTTGCTCTGGAGCCCTCCTTCCTGAGCTGAGACAAAAAGGTGTGAGCCGGACGCTAAAAAAACTGTGAGCTAGCTCACACCAACTCAGCTTAGAGGGAACACTGCTCACAGGTGTGGCTCATACCTTTGAGAACTCCTTGTGAAGTAGTCTTCTGAGATCAACCAAGGCCAGGATGGAGTCAGCGAGATGAGGCAATATGAAGTTTCACCTGAGCTATCCAGAACCCCTTTAAAAACTGGCATTCTTCATTCAGGGAGGGAGGGGGCTGTGGCTCTGGGGAAGAGCCTCTGCTTTTCACACAGAAGGTCCCGGGTTCAATCTCCGGCATCTCCAGTTTAAAAGGATCAGGTCATAGTAGGTGATGTGAAAGACCTCTGCCTGAGACCCCGGAGAGCCGCTGCCAGTCTGAGCAGACAATACTGAACTTCATGGACCAAGGGTCTGGTTCAGTAAGAGGCAGATCCATGTGTTTGTGCATTCCAGGAATATTTAATTCCTTCTGCAGTTGTGAAACTTTTCACAGATAACATGCGTCAGCAGAGCTTCAGCACTGGAACACAGACAATGCTGCCTTATCCTAAGTCAGGCCCTAAGGTCAGTATTGGCTACTCTGACTGGCAGCTGCCCCCAAGGGTCTCAAGAAGAGGCCTTTCACATTATCTACTACCTGATCCTTTTAACTGGAGATGTCAGGGAATAAACCTGGGATCTCCTGCGTACCCAACACATACTCTACCACTGAGCTCTGATCCTCCCTGAAAGATCTCTGCGAAACAAATACCCCCGTACCCAAACCTTCCCACTCCCCAAGCTGCTAAGCAGTAGTATGTTAGTGGGCATTTCAGGCAGACTCAAGGCCAACTGCAGGAAGCTTCCACGGTAGAGCGGGGATTCGAACCTGGGCCTCCTTGTCCAGCCCTGTGAGGTAGGCTAGACTGAGAGTGACTGGCCCACGGTCACCCACCGAGCTTCCATGGCAGAGTGGGGATTCGAACCTGGGTCTCTCGGATCCTAGTCCGACACCCTAAACACTGCGCCACATGGACAGTTAAGAGGCCTTATCAGTTGCGCAGGCAGAGGCCTCTGGGTCGATGTGGTGATGTAAAGGGCCATCAAGTCACAGCCAACTTATGGTGACCTCGTAGGACAGAGGTGTTGAACTCATTTGTTACGAGGGCCGGATCTGACATAAATGTCACTTTGTCGGGCCAAGCCACGCATGCCACAAAACGTAATTCCAGGTACCGGAGATATGAACTGTATAAATTTTTCTCCGTCTTTAGGATGTACCGCTCCTGAGTGCAGGGCTACCACCGGCGCGTCTACTAATGGGACCTTCAAGTCCTCCATCGTGTCCTCGGGTAGGGTGTAGAAGCGTCTCGCTACGGACAGTAGTGTTGCCTCCTCCCGGGTTGTCCCACTCTTCTCGTATCACGTCCTCGAAGCAATCGGGGAATGGCGAAAAGGTCTGGTAGGTTTCCTGAATCCTCTGGAATCCAGGTTCGCTGAGGTCGACGACCTTGGCTTCTCTGTAACCTCCATCTGGTAGTTAAGGGTGGAGACAACCTTAGTGAGTAGCCTTTGGAAATGCTCACTCTGGAACAGGCGAGAGGACGCTGGTTTTATCTCCGTCTCCTCCCCCGACCACTCCCCTTCTTCCTTGTCTTTGGTGGGCAAGGAAGTAAAAATGGAAGTCTGCTCAGAGCTAGAGCTATTTAGACGTTCCCTCCTTGGAGGGTCCACCGGTTGCCGAGGCTCGGGTTGCAGGGGCTCCTGTGGGTCGGGTAGCGGTTGTTCCCCATCTTCCTCCGTTCCCGAGGCCCCTGGAGCCTCCCGGAGCTTCTGTGGTCTGGGTTCCCTGCGCCTTTTTTGCGGTGGTGGCGACCTGGAACTTGAGGGCGAGCGAGAAGTCCTGGAGCGATATCGCCTGCGTCCTCTGGGGGAGCCCACTCGTCTGCCTTCCCCTCTCCCATGGTGTGTAGGTGAATGGGCCCTGGCTTCCGTATTTAGAGTCCAGCCAGGCCCTGGCCAAGGTCCCCCCGGCCCTTGCCACAACCATGGGGACACTTGTGGGGCAAAGGGGCTCGGCCCGGTTCCCCCTGCTGCCAGCGCCTGTTGCGAGATGGCAAAGGGCGCCTGAGCCTGCAGTAGCTGGGGCGGCCCTTGATGCGTCGGGGCCGCCGTCGCCGCCGCCGCCCACGCAGGTGCTGTCGGCCATGGCCCCTGCGGCGGCATTGCCGGCATCGCGGGCCAGTTCAGCAGATTGAAGGGAGCGGCCGGGTAGGGCGCTATGGGGTGCGCCGGCGCCCTCTCTGGCGGCGGGGGTCCCGGCTGGGGTGGTGTTGGGGCTCGGACCGGGTCCGGGCTCGGCGCCCGGCTCGGCGTAGGAGCCTGCGGTGGGCTCGCGGGAGGCTG